CTCCCTGTGGCGCCCTTACCCGCTGGCCCTCGGTGCCTGGTCCTCCCGCGGCTGGCCTGCCCTCGCTCGCAGAGTTCCCTCCCGGGCTGCCGGGCAGTCTCAGCAGCTTGCTAAAGTGACGCCGAAAATAACCCCCGGCCACAAGTGCTTTCATTCCCACAACAGGTGTGTTACTAAGATAGACCACACGTGTCCCGGCCGAGGTTTTTGGGGGCACGGAGCAGCACCCCCACGGCTCCCCCAGGCCCGGAGCCTGGGCGGGGTGGGGGGAGCTTAGGATGAGGCATCGAAAACAGCCCCTCCTGCCAGCCCCCAGCCCGCCCTCGGGCACCATCCTCCTGGCCACACAAAGCACCCAGGCCTGGCAGTACCGCAGCTCCATGGACACACGGGGCCCCAGACGAGGCCACACACCTGGGCTTACATCGCTGCGCGTGCAGGCTGACATACTCCCAGCATCGCCCAGCAAGAGCCTCCCCTATGGCACCAGCTGCAGCCTGAGCACTGTGCTGGGAATGTCCACTGGTGACCAATGCCTGTGGAGCACCCTGCATATGCCGGGGACTCCCATGACGTGACCAGCAGCACCCTGGGGCTCCGTGTCGTTGCCTTCAGCGCTGGGCCCGTGACTGCTTTTCTACAGGTGGGGTTCCCTGCCTGAGGACAGAGTGCCTGCAAGGGTAAGAGCAGGGTCTGCCCTGGGAGAGGCTGCGGACTTGCTACTGGCATTCTACCATCCTGCAACTCTGGGACCTGCCTGCTTTGCCCAGTTCTGAGGTGGGGAGATGGAGGCTCAGAGAGGCCATCCACCTGCCCAAGGTCACAGTGTGTGGGCGGCAGGGCTGGGTATGAACCCGGTCTGTGGGCTGGGGACCCCACTGCTCAGTCCTCCTGGTCGGCCCCTGGGCCCTTGTTCCCTAAGGGAGGCCGGCCTAGCATGGCAGATGCAGGGGGCGCAGACAGGGCAGTAGGCACTGGGCCAGGACCTCTGGGAGAACAGTGGTTTTTGTTATTTTACTTACAGAGACAGACCATAGACCATTTTAAGCAGCCATGAAAACGGCCATGGGGCAGAGACATCGCAGGCCCGTCCTCTCGATCTGTAAGCAAAATAAGAAAAACACGCTGTGAGGAAGGAGGCTGGGCTCTGGACCCCACCCGGGGGGGTGTCTGCAGCCGGCCCCTCCCCTGCCTCTCGACAGCGTTTTGGGGGTTGGGCCTCTGTCACCATCTAGGCCCAGTCCACTCCCTTCTCTGGGCCTTGGCTTCCTCGTCTGTGAAATGGGCGGGTCAGGGATCTCTTGGGGCCACTTCTGGTGGGAACTTCTGGGACTCAACCGGAATTCTGGCTCCTCATGGGCATGAGTGGGACACCTTGGCTCTTAAACAGCTGTTTCTGGAAGGTGCCTGGTGATCCCACTTGGCACCATCCTCAGGGCCCAAGCTGAGGGGCTGGGGATTTTCATCGACAGACAAGCCAATGATGGTTCCAAAACAAAGGCCAGGTCTGAGCTGCCATGATGGGTGGAAGCACCAAACAGGAGGAGAGCTTTGATTTGTCTGAGCTGAGGTCAGTGGACAAAAGCCACAAGGAGAAAAGCCGTACCACCGAAAACAGAGTGTGTGCCCCCTGTCGCAGTGGGTAAGAGCAAGATGGAGTGTTTGCTCCTTAAGGGTCCTCCCAGCTGCAGAACAGCTCCTCACATCCCTCCCCAGAGTTCTCCTGGCACTCCTGCCACCTTCCTGCGGCCACGCCACAGCTTCAACTCCAAAATAAATTTGTGCCCAGGGCAGTCACCGGGCAAGAAAAAAACCACAGCCCTCAAGCCATGGCTCCCAGTCAGTCCCTGGTCAGCTTGGCTCGCAGGTCGGTCCTGGGGCAGCGGGGGAGGTTCCTGGCAGGAATCCATGGGCAGTGCAGAGGATCCGTCTACTCTGGGCACCACCAGCCAGGTGCACAGATGAGATGAGATGTTAACCTCATGTTAACACCCTGCTTTCAGGGAATTCCGAGGGTTAGTGAACAAACCTGAGGCCACCCCAGAGGCAGCCTGACACTCAGACAAAAGCTCCCAGTGGCCAGAGAGAACTAGGTGTCGGCTTAGAGAAGAAAGACCCATTCTCTCATAACTTCCATGCTCTGAATAGAGCTGGGACCCTGGCCAGAGGGAATGGACCCCACACCACACATGGCCCTGCCACCACACATCTGTTCACCAGGCCCGGTGGCATCTGACCCCAGCCTCATCCACAACCTGGAACATCTGTTTCCCAGACCAGTGCCTTCCGGAACACGGGCTCCTGGACTGAGAAGAAAGGCAGGCCACGGAGCCACGCCCACGAGAATCAGAGACCCTGGCTCGGAGCCTTGGCCAGGCCCTCCGAGGGTCCACTGGTCTCTCCTGCTTGGAACTGCTTGGACAACAGAGTGGGGGCGTCATCATCCCAGGGGGACCTGCTGCTGCCCCGTCAGGAAAATTCTTTTTCCCGCGTGGGCAGCACGGACACCCTGGGCTGCACGGACACCCTGGGCTGCACGGATGTGGGTGAAACTCAGCCAGGCTGGAGCCTTCCCTCTCTACTGGTGAGGATGGATGGGGCAGCTGCAGTCAGTGGACAGAGATCGGCCTGCAGTTCAGCCCGAGGTGAGGATTGACTCTTCCGGAGAAGAGGGAGGGGTAACCGGCTGGCCAGAGTCCCCAGGAGAACAGTGAGTGAGCAAACGGGCCACCTCTGGCCCCTCCTGTGTGGCAAGTGCAGGCCGGGCACTCAGGAGTGGACGGCAGGGCCCCGTCTTGAGGCAGGAGGCAAGTGTGGGGACACGGGCTCATCCCAGTGTCCATCATGTGTGGGGACCCTGGCTCAGACTGACCCCGCTGGGGAGAGGTACTGGAACTGTTTGTGCCAGACAGTCCTGTGTTCAGGTGGCCGCACCTGGGAGCAGGTGACATTTCCCTGTTTACCAGCAGAGACCAGCATCCTGCAGAAAGGGACCTAGCTGGACCCCTCCTCCAGATGGGGGCCAGTGCCTAGCCTCTGATGGCAGCACCAGCATCATTTACAACCAGGAACAGACAGAGCCAGGCTGGGGCCTGGGCTCTGGGAAGAGACATGGACCCCGGTGAGCAGGGTGGGGCCTGAGGAACTTGGGGGCGGCCAGGGGCTGCCAGGCTGAGGAACTAAGGTTCCTGCTCCACAGAGGGCCTTCATTTGGGTCCGAAGCCTGGGGAAGGGAGCCCTAGTGTGGGGCTTTCTGACCTCTGAATGTGCGGATGGTGAGGCACGTGGATCGCCCAGAAACACTTAGGACACATTGCTGAGCCCCTGGTCTTAGGGACAGGGAACACTGTCTCCCACACAAGCACAAGCTGAGGGTCTCCTTCCCAACTGCTCCGATTCAAAGGCCCAGGGCTCCAGGGGTGGCTGTGGACTCCACAAGCCCACCTACACTCGCTGTGTGCACCAAGATGCTCAACTGTGGCCCAGTGCCCGTGAGGCACCACCTTGGGGTATGGTCTGCCTACCTTGTTGCTGGCAGCTAAGGGCCTGTGGACCCAGTTCCTGGCCCACCCACACACCTGGCTCAGGACTGGCCGCAGGGCTCTTCCAAGGGCAGAAACGCCTCCAACTGCCCCTTCATGGGGTTCAGGCCAAACAGGATTTGCCCACATGCAAGTAGCCTGCTGTGTGACCATGCAGAAGTCCTCGTCCCTCTCTGAGCTCCAGTATAGCACCTGACCTTGATGGAAGGCTCACCATGTGCTCGCCCCGCTGAGAATTATTAACTCATTCGTCCTCACAGCAGCTCTGTGAGGCAGGGCCATGGCCAGCCCCGCTTTCCCAGTGAGAAATGCCAGGCCCAGAGAGGTTAAGAACTTTCCCCAAAGTCACACAGCTACCAAGTAGAAGAGCTGGGGTCTGAACCATAATGAGATCCTCCCTCTCAAAGGCCCAATGCGGGGTCGTTTACAGGTCCAGGTGAAAGTTCGGACCTCAAACGGCTTGAGGGACACACCCACCCAGAGGTGACTCTTCCCACCGCCCCCTTGAGACCCAGCCCTGGGGTTACTCACTTGTGTGGGGTGTGAAGGAGGGGTGTCGTGTGGCCCCCTGGGATGCGGCAGGTGGTGGGGGTGGCATGCTGGGGGGCGTGGCCCGGGGCTGCGTCTTCACCTCAGCTGGGGAGTCGGGCATCGCGGTGGCCTTCTCCTTTCTGTCTGCTGTGGACACCACCGGGGTGGGGAACGGGAGAAAGAGACAGAGAGCAGGTGAGTCAGGCCAAGGGGTAGAGGGATTGGCACTGCCCAGGCCCACTTGCTTCCTGGGCGAGGCCCCAAGCAGCTGGAGCCCAGGTGGGGGACACAGCCCACAGCCCGCCACGGAGAAGCCCCAGGTTTGCTCACAGGTGGCTGGCATCCCACCTACCTGGGATCAGACAGCAGGATGGGTCAGCCCATTTCCGGTACACTGGAGGGCATAGCTTTGAGAACCTGGGCCGCCAGAACAGGCCTGGGGTTCTCATTGTGGGGGTGACCCTGGGGAGCTTGGGTTTTCTCAACTGCAGACCAGGGAGTCAGGGAGCACCCCCTGAGGCTGTGGTGCCCCCACTTCCTTAATCAGCAGCTTCTGGAGGGCCTGTATGGATGACCTCCCCACCCCCATTTCTTATTCTGCAGGTGCGGGGCTGGCCTGAGACTCTGCATTTCTAATGGGATCCCAGGGGAAGCTCTCGCTCAGAGACACCCTAGCATTATCCATCCTAGAGCAGATGCTAAAAGGCACATCTGGGGGTGTTCCCCAGGGAAACTGGGAGGCGAGAACCTGTATTTTCACCGTTTCCTGGCCCAGGCGACACCTGGGACCAGCCAGGCCAAGGACACATTCGATTTCAGGCCATTTTAGGCCTGGCCATCCAAGTGTGATCCACAGAGCAGCAGGTCCTGCCCCGGATTCTATGTCAAAGATTCCACAGAATCCCGCTGTGTCAAGGATTCTGATGCTCTGCTAGGAGCCAGGGTGTGGAGACAGGGTGGAGATGGGAAGGAGAGACCCCAGCCTGACATGCACCAGAGCCCCTGGGCCCACAGAGCAGGCCCTGGGAAAAGGTCTCTGGGTGACTGACCGTCCACATGAACCTGAGGCAGCAGCTGCCCAGGTATTCAGCTGGGGGAGGGAGTGAGCCTCTGGGCCACCCCTGACCCCTACCCACTTGGCCCCAGCTCAGCGTCAGCCAGCATCCAGCGACCGCAGAGACCTGGGAGGGCGGCTGCGACTACAGGTGGGCGTCCCCGCCTGTTACAAACTGGCCCAGCCTGTGCTGCCTGCCCGCTCCCCACCCCCACCACTGCCCATCCTGTTAACCCTGATGGGGTCTCACCGGGGGCCAGGGGGTGACGGGGCTGGGCTGGACACCTGTCAACACATTCACTTCTTCCCCTCCTCCTCCCAGGGGCCCCACGTGATCTGGGCCACCTGCCTCCATGGACAATGACAGCGACAATAAAGTGTTTGTGTCCCAGACTGAGCAGACCTCCTTCCTTGCCCCCACGGCCTCCATACTGGGAGGAGACGCCTGCAGCACCCCAGGGCCCCTGAGGTGGGAGCAGAAAGCCCCCTCCTCACTGTCCCCACGGAGGGGGAAGCAGCCAGTCTCCGGCAGCCACCGGGCCGCACAGCACCTGCTGTGCCCTCAGCTGTGACCGCCCCCGCCCCCCCCGCCGGGCGCCCTGCCCCCTGCCGCCGCCTGTCAGGAGCTGACGGCCGGGCACACGTGCACTGCAGCTGTGGGGGCCTGTCAACACCATGCCTGGCTGCAGGGCCGGTGGCCAGTCCCCACTGACAACCAAAGAAGGCAAACGTGGCCAGCGCCACGGGCCCTGGGCCACCCCTGTGGGGTGCAGTCCTGCCTGTCCTGGCCAGCCCTTCATCTGACCAGGCCACCCTAGGGCAGGCGGTCCCGCCAGCAGGCTGTCCAGGGAGGGTACTCAGGACGCCAGGCTGGGACGCTGGGGACATGGCCTGTTTTGACCTTTCCAAGTCCTTCCATGCAGGGGCTTTGCTGGAGTGTCACAGGTGGAGCAGACCAGAGACCCCGGCTAAGGGGGCATAGGGGAGGGGTGGACCAAGTGTGCCTGCATCACATGGAGCCTCTCACCCATCCCTCGGGTGTCTACAGGCCCTGAGGGCAGAGCTCCAGGCTGCCCACCTATGGAGGAGACATGCATGCACTTGGTAGATGAGTCATGGCTCCTGTTATCGTCAGGAAACCCAGCACAGGGAATGCTGCTTCCAGCCCCGTTTTACAGGCACAGAGAGGTGCAGCCATCTGCCAAGGGCACGCAGCACGTATGGGTGCGTCCCCACAGGGCACACGAGTCCACAGGGTTTCAAGGACTGGTTTGCATCAATGAGAACTCTCCTTGCAGGAGAGGAATCAGACCCAGGTGGATGGAGGCTGCGGGTTAGTGGGGGTGCATCCCCACCTCCTACGCTGGGTCTTGGGTCCCTGGGCTGCACATGGTGGGGCCACGGGTGCAGGAAGCCTCACATATGTTGAATCTTGTTTGAGTCTGGCTCTATTGCCTGATGGCTGTGTGACGTAGGGCAAGTCACTTCACCTCTCTGAGCCTTTCTACTCCTCTGTAATGGGTGATGGTGAGCTCTCAGTGCAATCAGGAACAGTTTATGAAGCAATGTGAGGGCTGGGACCCTGCTCTTGAGGTTGCCCTCAGCCCAGATCCAAAGCAGAGCATGACGGAGGCCCTCAGGAAAGAGCAAGGGTGGTGTGAAGATGGCCAGGAACAGCACAAATGCCAGGAGGAGCGCACGGGCCTCTCTCTAGTCATGCAAAGAATCCGGACAAAGCTGGCAGGCAGTAGGGAGCCCATCAGGGTGTGCACAGGCGTCACCTCTGCTGCCTGAAACCCTCAGCAGTTTCCACTGCACATGGGGCTCCCCGGGGCCTCCCCCCAACTCCCCTTCCCTCCTGGGGCTTCAGCTCTGACCTCACGTCCTCAGGAGAGGTGCCCCATGTGAGGGTCTTTGGCTCCCCTGGAATGTGATCCCCTCTGAGACAACCCTGCTTCCTGACTGCCACCACCTCCCCCACCTCAGGGTCTCTGGCTGGGCTGGCACTTCCCGAAGGCCACCTGTGCACATGCTGGAGGCCAGGGCAGGACCCAAGAGTGAGGTCACTGCTGGGCAGCCCTCTGAGAGGAGGGGGCTCCATGCTCAGTGCCTGGAGGGGGCAGGTCAAGGGTCCTGGCTGCCCCAGCCCCAAGGTGGGCAGACCCAGGGGGCTGTGGATGCAACCACAGCTCACCCTGGACACTTGCCCTCCTCAGGGCTGGCCAAGCAAGGACAGTAGGGTGTGAGGGGGCTAGAGGCCCACCCTCCGGATAAGTGGCCACCTCTAAGCCGGGCTCCCTGTGTCTACATGGGCACACTTGTCACCCACCTCCCGGGGTGCAGCATGGGTCAAAGGAGACAGAAAAGAGTGCTTAGCGGAGGGCAGGGCACCCACCATGGTCGTACCATCATGGTGGCAGCTGTTAATTGCTGCTATTAATTACTGCTCTCTCTCTCCACCTCTGCAGCCCTGAGCTGTGTGCGGAGGGGCCAAGCCTGCCCGTCTGCTGGCCTGCATGGTCTGAGGGCACATGGCTAACAAGCTGCCAGATGGGCAGCCTCAGTCTCTTGAGTGCTGGCCTCCTGACCTGCCCCTAGCCCCTTCCAAGGCCCAAGACCCCCAAGGGCTCTGGAACAACCTGAGTGCCTGTCTGGCTGCCCCATAGGGCCACCCAGGGGGGACCCTGAGCCCACAAACCAGCGTGAGCAGGAGCTGGCCAGGTCGTGAGGGCTGGGTAGGGGTCCACTGCGGGGTGCTGAGGGCCAGGAGGGCGGCAGCTCCCACTGCCGTGAAGACTCCTGAGGGTGCCAACGTGGTCGGCAGGGCACAGCTCCCAGTGAGGTCCAGACTCCACCCAGAAGCCTGAGCCGGCCGCGTGAGGCTGCTCTTTCCCCTCCCCCACTCTCAGGTCCTCCACCCTCTGGGGTCCACTCCCAAGAGTCCCAGCCCCGGGGGAGCCGGGTCCTGTGCCCTGCACGTCCATGCAGCCTCTCGTTGCACCCTCATGCCCTCCCCAGAAAGTGCCATCAGTCCCTGTGCCTGCCTGTGAGAGACACTGGACATGTCCGTGGGACACCCTCCCGGCTTGAACTGTCCCCCCATACCCACTCTGGGTCTGTTTCCCCACTTCTGACTCTGAAGTCGTTGGGGACCCTCAGCCCCACAGACACCCCCACCCAAAATCAGGATATCCCCTGCACAAGCCCCCTTTAAGGGAGCTCTGACTTAGCAGGTCAGTGAGGGGCCCTGGCAGCTGGACCTATGTCTAGCTTTAAGTTCCTTCACTTTTATAAGATTAACATATAAATAACAGCTCCCCAGGCAAGGGCTTGGCACGTGTCCCATGCACATCAGCGTGCCCAGTGAGAGTCCCAGGGACGACTGTGACCCGGAATGCCACACCCTGCAGGAGGACTCAATGCGTCTCCACAGGGGCCCCCATCAGGCCCACTTGTGGATGGGGAAACTGAGGCTCGGGGAGGGCAAGTGTCTTGTTCAGGGTCTCAGAGCCTGACAGACAGCAGGGCCTGAGCCTGGGGCTCTCCAGGGGTGGCTCAAGCCCCAGGTTCCACCACTGCCTGGGAGATCAGAAAGTTCTGCAGCCACCTCGTGCTCCCTGGGGAACATCATGTGGGCCGACCAGACACAGAAAGGCTGGCTGCCTGGGTTTGGGGCTGGGGTGGGTTTGCTGCTCCAAGTCAGTGGGTGACACCCCAGGTGCCCCAGCTTTGTGGCAGGTTAAGTGCGAGGACCATCTTCCCAACTCTCTTAGGCTCTTCCTAGGTGTCAGAGCTCCGGGAAGGAAGAATAGGGGCGGCCTCAGCATCCCTGGGCCTGCACTGGCCCCATCAGCAGTCAGGGGCCATGGCGGCCACAGGACCCCATAGAGAAAAAAGTGGGAGGTGGGGTGGAATTGGAGAAGACACGTCTGGGCTTCTCCCTGACCAGGGTCCCTGTCAGCTCCCCAGGAGCCCGGAACAGCGGCCCTTATGCTGGTGTGTGTTGGGGGGAACTCTTGGGGTGCCGGCCCCTCCTCCAGGGTCCCCTCCCCGTGTGCTCAGGGGGCAGGGATGCGCCAGGGGTCCAGCCAGGAGTCTGACCCTCGCACAATGTGGGAGGCAGCCTAGCTCTGCTCCATCTGACAGACAGGAAACTGAGGCACAGAGAGGGTGGGTGACCTGCCGAGTTCACACAGCCGACATGGGCTGGAGGTGGCCCCAGAGTCCTACCCACCCGAGACCTGCTGCTCCCTCTTTCACTCCTCTTTGAACTGTCCGTCCCTCAATCCCGGAGGGTGGGGGCCCCCCTGGTGTCCTGATGTCCTGATGTCCGGCTGCGGTGCAGGAGTCAGAGGGTAAGAGGGGACGGCCTACTTGGTTGCAGCCCCACCCACGGCCCCGGCTCTGAGCCCTCGAGAACATTCCCAGACCCGGGCGGTGCTCCCCAGGCCCCTGGGGACCCTGTGTGTTTCCCAGACAGTGGCTCCAGTTCCCACTAAATGTCACCAACCCGTCGACAGAGGAAGCCGCTCTCCAGGGCCGAGTGGAGCTGGTGGGAAAGAACACAGAATGTGCCGGAACAAGCCACCCCATCCATCATTTTCCCTGTTCGCCTGTGTTCCCAGCCCGCCCTGCCCGGCTGAGAACTGGCCACAGCCCCGCGCTCCCAGCCCTGGGGTTCTAGAACCCTCCACGGGAGGGGGCCCTTAGCATCAGCACAACCCAACCCCCACAGGTCCTGTTGCAGAAGCAGGGCTCGCTTTGGCCTCTCGTGGTCTGACTCTGCCATCACCTCATCTGACCCTCACAGAAGCGGCAGGAAGTGGGCAGGTGGGCCCAGTACCGACAGGTAACTCCGCTCCGGGGGCAGGGCCCTGACTGTGAGCCCGGCCTCAACCTGAGCACTCCACGCAGCCCCCAGCCTGCGAGGCGGCCGATGAGGAAGCCCAGGGCCCAGAGGCCACTCTCTGCGGAGTCTTGGGCTATGACCTGTGACGTGCCCAGACCCCGTTCCAGGCACCGACCCACAGGCAGGCAGGGTTCCCCAGGCCCATGGAGGCTTGGCGGGGAGCCCTGTACCCTGAGGAGGGGTCCTGCTCCCCGGCCCCAGTGTGCCCCTCGGCAAATTGCCCGGCCGCAGCCTCCACCGCTGCAGGTGGGGACAGGGACAGAACACCAGCGGTCCAAGCCCTGAAATCCTGGCCTCCGCCCTGCGCTGGGGAGCAGGCCGAGGTCCGGACGCTCCTGCCAAGGTGTGCTGAACGCTGGACTTTGCTGGAGGCAGAGGGGCGAGTTGACCCCTAAGACACGTCACCTGAGACCATTACCAGGTAGCCCCTGCCTCTTGGCGGGCATCCTGAGTGCCCTCATGGACCTTTGTGACTGGCCGTT